TAAACTTAATTCCTGTGATGCTGCTGCAGGGCACTGTGTTAGTTCCTGATGCAGGATGTTATGCAAGTATTTCACTTAATGTTGTTGCAATTACTGGAAAACATGGTGACAATGTGCGCTGAGTCATTTCGATGTGAAACCTTTGTGGTTAGAAAATGCAAACCTCTGTGGTTAGAGAATGCAGAACTTTGCATTGCAGGCAGCCACTTTCATACCCCCAAACAAAACCTCTGATCCCTGTGACTGCCATGTAGCTTAGGTATTCATCTACACCAGCACCCCTAAAACAGAGACGAAGTATACCTTTGTGGTACCATCAGGTTTACATCAAGGCACTAGACCTAACAGAATGATTAAATCTGTGATGTCCTTCCCATACCGCTGTAGTAAGCAAGTAGTTCTCTTCCTGTCCTCTTCCTTCCATGGTTATACACACTGGAGACTTAAAGTCTAGTTTCATCTGATCACTTTTAGCCTTTTTTCCCTTTGGGGGTATGAGCCACTTTCTGTAGCGCTCAGTACTGTTCTCACACATGGTGAAATGACTACAGCAAAAATTCTGTTGGATGTAAGAAAGGGAATGACAAATTCCTGGCTGAACTGAGCATGGCAAAAATGGAGTCTAGTTTTGGTAACTTAAGTAGAAAATTATGTTTAGACCCTAGACTTTGGAGGAGTAGTGCATTCTACAGTTTACTTTTTCTGTACGAGTTGTTTTTGCATGGCAAAAACGGAGTCATTTAGTTTTGGTAACTTAAGTAGAAAATTATGTTTAGACCCTAGACTTTGGAGGAGTAGTGCATTCTACAGTTTACTTTTTCTGTACGAGTTGTTTTTGCAAGCAGAAAAGCACTTGCAAAAGCTTTGCCTGAAAGTCCTGTTAAATTTTCAAAAGGCTGTCTAGAATGCTCTGCATCCCCCACAAGAAGTTCAGCATGTGCATTGTCAATAATAACAGGACTGTAAAGAAAGTCTACTCAGTTTTTACTGAATTCTCTTCCTCCCTGATGCCATATACCTTTCACCACAACAAAACTCTTATCTCTTAGGCAAGCCATGTTCTATTGCCTCTGTCTTCTTTCTGCAGAATAAAAAGAGTATATCCATCCTCATTAGGCTTCCAGACAGGACAGAAGAGCATTCATAAGCCAGGATGCAGGTCAGGCTTGGTATGTAAAGATAGAAGCTTTTATGCTGACATGTACATCAGTTTTCTACTTGCACCTAAATTTAAATTACAGAAGAATATGTATTGATGTTTTTCCAAATCTAAAACTCATACTACAAGAACAAAAATTTTTACTTCTATCAATAAAACCAACTAGAAAAAAATACTTAAATGATTGTTCTGGACAGCTGGAGCCCATGATTTTTAAGTGACTGCTGTAGAGTACAAAGTAAAGTACAGTTGAGTGCAGGCTTATGTTCCTACCAGGGCTGCTATCTTCTCACACAATGAGGAAAGCTACTGTACGAAGCTAACCTTGGCTTCTGCATTATTCCAGAGCTCCTGAATCTGCTAGTTAGCACAGCACCACTTGCAGTGTCCTCTCTCCTAGTCAGGACCCCATGAGGAGATGCAGCTAGCCTCCTATTCCACTACAAGACCATTGTTGCCTTTCTGTTGTAGCGTATCTGGGAAGAGGCTTCATGATGCTAAAACTTCATATAGGCTGGGAGATACTGGGGCATGAAGTCACCAATGTCAAGGAACCAACTGCCAGATGCTCTTGGTTGATGACCAGTCAATGCAGCTCTCCAGCTCATTGTGTATTAAGACATTGGGCCAGGTGGGTAGGGAAGAACGACTATGGTAAGATGATAGGAATTCTCTTGGAAATGGAATTAACAAACTTATCTGACTGATGATCACGCTTTCTGGCCAAGGCTAGGCCCCCTGTGATTTCTTTAAGTAAAACCATTTGGTGGTGTTTATGACTCTTCAAGTTTGGTTATGATATATACTTTAACTTTTTTTTTTGTTTTTTGTTTTCCTTGGAAGCTGTAAGTGATGCTGTACTAGTCCAGCCTCTTTCATACACCTTAAATGCACTCTGCTGGGCAGGTTTCAGCTATAGGAGGCTGTTATGGCCTTCTTGCTAACTGCTGTTTATCTTTAAAGCTTTTTTGGATGGGAGGGCAGTAGGCAGAAAGGGATTCTGTCAAGGGTAATGTCCTTCACTGTGGTAACTAATCACAGGCATATTTACCTACAGCAGGCACAGCTGTCTGAGAGATGGTAACTGCCTCACGACCTTTTCTCCAATTCCCAAATAATTTGGTTTTCAGATGTAGTGATTATGCTGTCTCCATTCCTTGCTGGTAACAGTCTAGCAACCCTTTCAATCAATACAACTTAATTTTCTTATGTAAACAAACGTCAAGTTTTTGGAAAAACCTATAGCCTTAATGGAAAAGATTGGAATCCCTGCAGATCTCCAACAACTGAACAGGAAGGTCTAATGGGACTGTTGCCCTCGCTGGTTCAGGTTCATGTGCAGTCTCATGTAAATAACAGCAAGTGGTGTCCATTTCTAGACCATTTCAGGGCCAAACTGAAGAAAACTTTCTGTAGAAGACTGTGGGTGGTAGAGACCACTGTAGACCTTGAGATTACGCTTTGTTTTGTGGGCCTGTCCTGTGGTGTGAAGGCATATACTGCCTGAACTGGACACAAAATTGGGTGCTTTGGCACACTGGAGGTGTTCCTGTGTAACAGGAGTTGATGGTGAGACTGGCTAAACAAATGGGGAAGCTGAGAAGGAGCTCCTCATAGCTTGTGTGGTGCCATATGCAGTGACTGCCTCAATATACCTGCATTTGACCTTATGCAGCTCCATTTTAAAAAACAGAATCCCCACCATCTAAAGGTAAAGCTGCTTTAGATGTGACACAACTGATTTGCAGAAGTAGTAAAAGCCTTCTGGCCAAACTCTTTCCTAAGGGTATTTGATCCATAGTAAGCACATGGTACAACAATTTAGTAAGTAAGGCTGTACCAAAAACACCATTCAGGCATAAGAATCCAGCCTGGAAAGGCCTAAGGAGACAACACGAGTTACCTGTAAACAAGTTCTGCACACACTGTTTAGGAGACTTGTATTAGCAATGTGTCTCTTCCGTGCCTGGCTTGCTGGCCTTAGGGTCCGTGACATAAATGCTGCTTCAAAACTTGTGCTTTGAAGATGGAGGGAAGTGCTTTCCTCTTGCATGCTCCTTGTTCTCACACAAGGATAATGAGCTGGTAGTGAAGAAATTAATGTGTAATTTCCACTCCTCAGAATATGCTGGTTGGTGATGCTGTTTTATGCAGAATCGTATGCTAAAGTTGAACAGCCAGAAATACCATCAGGTTTATAGAGCTTTATGGTTCTCTGGAACTTCACTGCAGCTGCTGCTGCTTTCAGGCAACTCTAACAGCTGCTTAGTCAACCTCTTCTGAAAATGTCTATAGGGAAGGAGCTAATCTGTACACTGAAGTACTGACATTAAAATGATGCAGTTGAGCTGGGAAAGTATGCTGTTGAACAGGATCCCTTGTCAAGTTCCTTCACCTAATGAATTTCTGGTTCTTTGAGAAGAATATAATAACCCGTTTCTTCTTCTAACTTTGTCCTTGCTGATCACAGGAGGACTTAAATGTTTATAAACAGAGGACAACTATGTTTCCAATTAAAATTCTTGCTTTGTCTATCCTAAAACTGCATATGCACTCAATGCTAAAAGCTGAAGTGATGGTACACTGTAAAACTAAATTATAAAGTGCAGGGACTATTTTTCCCAATGAAGACTTCCAAACAAAGCAGAAAGCTATTTTAGTAGCCAGAATTTCCCAAGCAACATGCTAGCACTTGACCCTGCTATATGTACTCAAGTACAAACACAGCATGGTGGTCTGACCTTCCAAACAGAATAGTAACTGCACTGGCACTCTAATTCTACATTTTAAGTATAATGACTGCAATAGTTGTACTTAATAAGAAAAGTATTTTTTAGTTTATTATACTTGCTGACCATTGCTTTTTTTTCTGGACTTCTGTTGTGAATAGTTGTACTTTTACTATTCTGATTATTTTGTTCAAATCCTAGGATTGCTGTAGTACTCCTATAGCTGGAAATTATTCCAGGGAAGGTCTTAGACTTGACTTCTGTTGTGAATAGTTGTACTTTTACTATTCTGATTATTTTGTTCAAATCCTAGGATTGCTGTAGTACTCCTATAGCTGGAAATTATTCCAGGGAAGGTCTTAGACTCTTGTTCAAATCCTGGGATTGCTGTACTACTCATATAGTTGGAAATTATTCCAGGGAAGGTCTTAGACTTAAAAGCTGAAGTAAAAGATAACAGGTTTAGCTACAACTGTTAAACTAGCTCCTTTAAAGCTTGTCCCTAAGGAAACATCCATAAGTGACTTCTTCAAAAGATGCTTTGAAGGCTGTTAGCCTTGAAGCTTGTAGAAGCCCTTGCTGCTCACCTTTCAGAGAAAGCCTCTGAATTTGCTTAACTCTCTAGCTGAACTAACTAGATTTATATCTAAATCTTGCAAAAGCTTTTTTTGATAAAAGAATGATTTGTGTGTAGGTCTTCTGATAGTGTTTTTAGACATTACTTCTCAAAGAACACTACTCAACAAATAAGTTAAAAAAAATTCAAAGTGGTGGCTGATATTGAAAAGCTTTTTTTGATAAAAGAATGATTTGTGTGTAGGTCTTCTGATAGTGTTTTTAGACATTACTTCTCAAAGAAAACTACTCAACAAATAAGTTAAAAAAATTCAAAGTGGTGGCTGATATTGCAAAGTGATTTTAGGATCTGACTTGGCATGTGTAGTATACGTAATGGCTGTTACAATGAGCTGGCATAGGACAGAAGAAGCAATGTTGTGTGAACTAGGTGACTAGACCTGAATGACAAACTTGTATGTACTAACCTAGTACAAAGTCCACTTACATTGACTACAGTTCATGCTTAAATACAAATATACTCTCACTGTTCTCTTTCAGGCCAGGAGCGCTTTGGAAATATGACTAGAGTATACTACAAGGAGGCAGTTGGTGCTTTCGTGGTCTTTGATGTCACAAGAAGCTCCACGTTGGAGGCTGTTTCAAAATGGAAGCATGACTTGGACAGTAAAGTAGTACTTCCCAATGGCAGCCCCATTCCTGCAGTGCTTCTTGCAAACAAGTGTGACCAAAAGAAAGATGGCAGTCACAATACCTCTCAAATGGACCAGTTCTGCAGAGAAGGTGGCTTTGTTGGATGGTTTGAAACATCTGCCAAGGTAAGCATAAAGAAGAAACATGTTTTAACTCTAAATATTGGCATAAAAGTGGATGAATATAGTCACGGGGAGATTAAGAAGGTTAGGTATAGGAAGTGGAAGTGGATGAATATAGTCATGTGGAGATTAAGAAGGTTAGGTATAGGAAGTGACTGTCAAGTCTTCAGTGTTCAGCAGAAGCTGGAAGTAGTGTGCAGACTAGCTCACTCCTGAGGAAGGCTTGTGGCATGTTTGCTTTAGATTAGAATTGCATCTTAAATTCAGAGAACCTTAAAACTAACTGGAAACCTTGATTAACCAAGTTTGATAAGTTTTATCATCTTGCATGCATCAGGATCAGAATCATTCTTGGTATCTAAAAGTATCTAAAAGATAAGTAATCTTTAGGTGCAGGTTTTAAAATTGCAGTTTGTCTTCACTGTTGTACGTAGGAAGTGGTAAGACTCTAGAAGTAAGCAGTATCTAAAAGTATCTAAAAGATAAGTAGTCTTTAGGTGCAGGTTTTTAAATTGCAGTTTGTCTTCACTGTTGTATGTAGGAAGTGGTAAGACTCTAGAAGTAAGCAAGCTATTTGCTCACTTATTGCTATGTACCCAGATGATAATGTCACTAAAGCACTTTTCTATTTTATCAGGAAGTGCAAGATTGAACTGGAGAAAAACAAGTTGTTCTGTATAGTAGCTTAAGCTAAGATAGCTGCTTTATTCAAACAGTTAACTTTGAGTAACTTCGTATATTGTATACTTTTAGTCAACAGACTTGGTCAATGCACAGATAAGCTTCCAGTAGCTTGGTTGAAAGCAAAATCCAACAGTTCCTTAAAACTCAACTGATCCTTAGAATGATGTGGCAGCCCTGTGGTGAGCAAACAGATTGCCCAGCCAGGTCAAAGCTGTGACCATAGGCGCCGTAGCACTGGCCAGCTTGGCCCCTCAGTAACTGAGATACCTAGAGATGAATTTCATCAGGGTGTCCTGCATATACACCTTCTTTAGAGTGTATGTGAAGGTATTTTTCAGAGCATGCCCAAGAAAATGTGGAGTGGCCAGATGAAGCACTGATTTAGCTGGGGTTTGCTGTTGAGGCTGATTGAAAAGGTCCTTTTCCATAAGTGCATCCAAACGGCAGCAGAAGCAGAAAAAGGTCCCAAAAGGTGGAACACTACTATGAATGGTGTAACTGCCTTTTATTTTTCCTGATGCAGAAATGCACTTCGGCATTTGTGAGTCTTCCAAATGCAGGTGACACTTATCCCCTGACTGCATACTAGACTAGAATTGAAGTATCCTATTTGTAATATGGGTGAATAACTTTTGTCTCAAACCTTTCTGGTAACTTTTTTCAAAAACCAAGTGTATGAGCAATGACTTGATGCATCTAAGCTGTTTGTGTCATGCTGATGAGACTGTAGAAGAAATCTTGTTTGAGCTTCTGATAGAAATGTGTGTCTATTTAAAAAAAAAATCACTGACTTCTTCACTTTCAACATTTTTAGGACAACATCAACATAGACGAAGCTGCTCGATTCTTGGTGGAAAACATCCTTGCCAACTACAAAACCTTTCCTAATGAAGAGAATGATGTGGGGAAACCAAAACTGGACCTAGACCCATTGAAAGCAGAGAGTAAATCCCAGTGCTGCTAATGCTACAACTGTTCAGTAAATGTGATGCGATGAGCAGCAAGACTGTTCCTTAAATCAAACTGCTGCTATGGTGCTGTGTTGTGACCATCCATATGGGGTGTCTGGTATTATCTGAATAGGTGATTCTTGTGGGTGTTTACATATTCTTGTTTAGCATGAAACTGAGTATCTTATCACTCCACTTGCCTGACTGGCTGCATCTAAGTCTGATTAGTGTCTTCTTACTTGAGAACATAAGGTAGTGTTTACACTCCTAAAAAGGAACAAAGACAACATTCAGTGTCTAGCTTGCTTCTAGGACATATGCTACATTCCAAATAGGACTCACTCATCATGGTTTTAGCTGGATAGACACTTGCACCTTTAAAGTAAACTTTTCCTTTGTTACCAGTAATGCCCCACTTTAGCCTTCTCACCTACACACTTGTCCCTATTTATTATCTCCTACCACAAGGATCTGTCTCATTGCTACTTCTCCTGGATCAAGACATCCCAGAATCTGGAAGGGGCCAATGACATATGGGAGGTATCTTAGTGTGTTCACTAAGACTGAGTGAAGTAGATGGCTTTTACCAATAAGAACAAGATGGGTAAATTATTGTACGTAACAGGGGAAAGGCATGGCTATAGAGATACTAACAAAAATGCATCTCCAGCCATTTAAGACAAAATCTTTTCAGCTAATACTTAACATATGAAACACATTAACGATTACAGTTGTACTGCTGGCACATAGTTATGGTAACCTCAACCATATGCACATCCAGAAACATTTTTGTGCACTAACCCTGTAAACTTTACCAAGACTGCAAAAAGTAACTATCTTGCTGTCCTGTGATAATGAACTCACTTCTTTTTCCTTCTGTCTTGAGATGGTTCTGAATATCACGAGGAAGAAGAGAGGTCTTCAAGGAAATAGCTTAACTGGTTCTTGCTAGCCTATCAAAAACCACCTCTGAGCTCTGCCTTTTCAATTTTAGAACAGTGCTGCACTCTTCTGACTACTTGGAGTTGGTGAACTGGCTTACCAGTTTGTAACTCTGGATACTGAAATGCTTGTTTCCTTGTTATAACTCATGTATGTTTGGCAGCAAATGACAATCAAAAGGATTAGAGAGATTTCATGGTTCTTGAATACATCCTGGAACTCTGGCTCTACTTGGCTGAAAGGCTTTGAAGCTTCTCTTTATTTTAAGGGGTTTTTCTATGTCCTCGTACCTCATTGCTACTGACTTCAGAAGTCTTACTTTGCTTGGTCTGATGGTGCTGATGTTTACTTAAAACATCAGCATGAAGTATGTGCCAGATTGGATATACTTTAATACGTATTGAGATTTCCTAGGCTGTCTTTTTTTTCTAAAGAGTAACATACTTTTTAAGAGACAAATAAATCTATTTGGGCATCTTATGTATGTTGTTGGTGTATACTTTTGACAACATGAATCTTCACATCATGTGTCCCATGCCATGCACAAATGCTTTCATTGACATTTGAAAACAGCTTTATGTTCTAGTAGCTGCAATGTTAAAGGCTTATTGTAAATTACCACAGTAAGGCTTGCCATAAGCTAAAACTGGGTTTAACTAGCTTAGGATCATAAGATCATTCAGATGAAAGGGTTCTTAGGAAATGTTCTAAGCCAACATCCTTGCCCAAGCAAGGTTATATCAGGGTGCTTAGGCTTTCATGTGGTCTGGTCTTAAACCTTCAATAGTGGAGACTGTATGGCCCTAGGAAAGTTGTTTCAATGTCCAACTGTCCCCTGAGAGCTTACCTAGGCTGAACCTTTGTAACTTCGACTTCTGTCTGTGGTCTTGTACCTCCTACTATGCATCACTGTAAAGAATGTGTCTGTTAGGCTTGTGTAGATTTGTTGGACACTTAAAGCTTGATTGGTACTTCAAAAAATTTTTTTGAAAGCCTGTAACACTTCAGAAGGGAGGTTGCACCCCATCCATGTTCCTTGCTTGTTGGCTTGTTTGAGTTGTTAACCTTTCTAGCTAACCTGGAACTACTATAATCTTCCTATTCAGTCACTTGAACAGCTCGATTTAGACTGTAAACTTTTAATAAGCTGTTTAATCTCCAGTATACTGTCTTTTTCTGAACTTTAATTGTAGTTGCACAAAGCCAGTGGAACATGTGCATAGCCTGCTTATTTGATGCTTCTTGACTAGATCAACACATGATGAATCTTGATGACCAGTCAAATAAGATGCAATTTCATGCTCGCTTGGCTTCAACTGCAAGTTTACTGAGCCTGTGTAATACAACATGAACTTTGTCACTAATGGGCAAAAAAGGGCCAATTCTTGAGTCTGTCTAGTATGGCACAGAAGGCTGGCCTACGTTCAAATGCTAGTTCCTTAAATACATTCTTTACTGCGGAAACTGCCAGTGGAGGCAGACTTTTTTCCCCCCCAAACGATTGTGCTTTTTCTTGGTTTTAGTTTTCAGATTCAACAGCAGAATGAATACCAAACTCTGAAGCTTTGGGACTCTACTTGAATGCATGATTCTCATTGGGGTTCTCTCAGTGACAATCTAATCCTACGTCAATTAGTTTCAAGAATATCTAAATTTCTGCTTGAAGAGCAATTGCTGCTGTGTTTAAGCACTTTGCTTGCTCTGTATGTAGCTTGTGTTCTAAAGCTTCATGTGAATGTAGAATGACCATGACTCTCAAACTGTGCTGGAATATACTAGTTTTGGTACAGGTTGTCACTGACTGGAGAAGCTGAGGCAGGGTGGGGTTCAGGAACTACCATCCCTAAAACGGCTAGTCTTCCTTTGTGCTAGAGACTGCATTTTCATTTCTGTTCCTTGGCGGGAGCATTACTATGTTTGAGACTGGTGGGGTGGATCAGGAAATCTGATCCAGCCAGGAGGTGAGAACTGTAAGAAAAGCCTGGCATTTAAGCCTGAGGAAGGGAATGGGGATATCTCTCTGGTAGAGGAGAATGAGACTGCAGTCTGTCGAGAAGTCTTTGTCAGTTAAACTAGTCATGAAGCCCTGTTCTAATTAACCTGAGAACTTTGATTTGGAAAGATATGTGGAAGTTTAGACAGACCCAATTTAACTTCAGGCTAATAAGTGAGCAAACAGTGTCAAACATCATTTGTTTTACACGTACAGGATATATTATAAAGGGATGATTCATCTTGATCAGATGAACAGAGGCCCCATGCTATTTTATTTCATTATGTCTTGCAATCTGAAATATGTCAATCCTGGCATGTTTACATCAACTGATTTTGTAAAGGTTGGAGATGACATAGAGTCTTCCTGGATTGTAGCTGTGCGGTAGGTCTGTGCAGCTAATGCAAAGTCAGCCTCTATTCATTTAAAAAGCTTAATGAGGCATTACAGTTGCTGAGAGAACTAAAAAGGAGGTAGAGCAATTAGTGATCTTTCAATATGGGATTTTCTAGGTCTACCTTAATTGTGGTAGTAGAAAAATGAGCTGTTCCAAGCTCCAGAGTTTTTGTGTTTAAACTTTGTGTCAGACCTACTGAGGTGTAATAGCATTCAGTCTCCTTAAATTGAACAAATACTTGTTCATCAGTAGTGATTAATCATCAGGGAATAGGTTGAGTCGTTCTTACAGACTCAATGCCTGAGTAACAATTCTATGTATGGTGATATGAGGAAATAGTTACCAAAGAGTTGTGTGGTAAAACTATGGTATTGAATGGTGAAACATTTTGCTCTTAAAAACTGTTGCTCCCTTATGTTTCTAGTCTTGACATCTTGCTAGTGAGCTTGGTTCCAAACCAGGGAACTGGCTAGCTCTTTCTCCCTTTACAGAACTCCTTATTTGGTACAGAAGCACAGTTCTCTAAGAGTGTGTATGCCTTTATCCTTCCCGAATTGCTACAAAATTAAGAAATGAGGGTAGCAGTTTATTTCAGGGGTAAAAAAAAAAAAATTAACAAAATGCAAGTGAGATAAATAATGATTCTGAATTTAAATACATCATTCACTTGTCAGTATGTAAAAGTTCACTTCAGAGTTCTTTGTCCTGCAGCAGAGTACTACTGAAAATGAAAAACATAGTAGATTTAGATCTGGCTATGTAGTGAAGATTATTTGAAATAAATTGTGCCTATATTATACATAACCATCAAAGTTGTTTAAATTTCTGTCTGAACAGGAAAAAAAAACCCAGTACTTCGTGAATTTTTAAGCACATGATTATGGGCTCTTTTGTTATCACCTAAAATAATGTCCGTTTCTCCCCTTGGCTCCCTAACCTCAGGCTGACTTATGAGTTACAGCTGCTTGTGGGTAGTTTCAGTCTGTCTGTTTGAGAATGGTTTTGCTGAAGTTCAGTTCCTTCTCCTATATATCATTGCCTGTTGTCTTGCTGTCTGTTGAGCTACATCTCAGTGGGTTCCAAACAAGCAGCTGCACTGTTCTTGTTTTATTGTCTTGTATATTTATTTCACATTTTCCAACTGTAAGGCAGCCTCTACCCTCACAACTTTTCCCTCCAGGGAGTGTCTGTCAGATATACTTCATGGATTGAGACACTAGGCAAATGAAATAACTAATTTGACCTTACAGATTCTTTGCCGGAAAACTAGCTTTTTTAAAAATTCAGATGACGTTTTCTTTCCAAACAAGCTGCCCTTGTAATTGCTATTAGGTTATAGAATTCTAAATTAAGTTCTTGGATAAATAAAAAGCTGTAACTTGATGCATACTTCTTCACAAAGCACAGAAACAGGTGCTTTTAATGCCATCACTCCTTGCAAACAAGCATATTGGAGAATTTTATGGAAGAAGGTGCATTTTGAACTTCATATGTAGAAGCTGTTATTTAACAGAGCAAAGAATGAAGGGCTCTCTAGCTCCTGTATGTTCTTTTCTGATTTATGCTCTTGCTCCTTCACCACCCAAAAATGTTTACAGACAGATGCACTCAAAATTCAGTTACTTTTCTGTTGCCTTTCATAGAATTGTATTGCAAGAATAATTTTTGCCAAGGTGCTGCAAATCTCACTGGTAATTGGGGTGGGATCAACCCTCTTACACCTATGTTTCATAATACTTTTCCATAGTAGTTACTCTGCCCAGTGAGTATAGGAAAGAAAAGGGGATTTGGAGGAATAGCCTGAAATCACAGATTATATGAGGTGGTTTTATCTGTGTCCTGTAAATTCCAGCCTCAGTCTGCAAGTATGCATCAGCATCCAGCAAGGTGTGGAGGTTAACAGCCCTACACTGGTACTGGAGAGGTAGCCAGATGTTTAAACTCACCTCTGTCTTCTTTTATTTGTTTGCATGCCCTGATCAATAGTTGATAGTGTAATTGTCTGAAGAGAGACCAGCTGCTGAGTTTGAAAATAAACCTGAAGTGT